TGCAAACAATGTGTAGATAGAGCGACATATTGTGGGTAGTCCGATCAGAAAACACACATACTCACTCCCGAAGGAAGTATTTGCAATTTCAATTGCATCGTGGTCTTGATGGCCAAGCGCACCGGCCTTGCCCATGCACCAACACTGCTCTCGTTGCTGCTTCTGGTGTGCTTTCCTATCCATGTACATTGTAAGTCATGTCCTGAGTTACTAATATTTTCCCTTCTCGCCATAACACAATCTTTTGCTAATATTATAATCGCATAAAAATGATAGAACTGAAAAAGAGTTAAACCCTCATCTCTGCAAACTAGTATGCCCTAGTCGTGCATATTTGTCTTTAGAAATAATGCTAGCTTGTTCTCTAGTTGATCGTGCACTACCACAAAGGTTGTCTGTAGTTTATTCCTGTTCCGATTTAGGTGTGTGTATTCGCCCTGCTAGATCCATAGTCGTCATTCGATTTGGTAACCAACGGGGTCTTATGGATATTAATGGTTGATTTATATTTTTTGTCCCGTAGGCCGAATCATGGATGGCAAAGTCAACAAGAAGATTAATTTACCACATGGATTGTGCGTGCATAAGAGTGGTATAGACTGCGCAGGTGCATCTCATTGTGAGTGTTGTTTAACAAACAACCTCTGCTATGTTTCAATGGACCAATGCATGGATTGGTGCAAAGATACATATTCTTCTTCCGGCGCATCAGCGGCGTCGGCCCATCCTCCTTTGCCATCCCATACATCCTAATCAATTTTATGGTGTTCCGAGTGATCATGCTAATGCGCCAGCTGATGGGCAATTTTGAAATAAAGAACAATGTTATGATCATTTTACTGATGAAGTTCAACCGCTCATCGTTACATCATATATAATTGTGCTGGTTTTGTTGAAGTTCTTTTCACTGGAACCAGTAAATCGTCTCGAAACAAACAAAAAAAGATGATGCTAGAACCACTTATTAATGACAATCAACAAGAGTCTACATGTAATAGTTTTAATTTAAAAAAAAATGCCCTGAGCTCCCGAAACTGATAATGCCTTTGAAAACGGCAATTAAATTTTTTTCGAGGCATATATGAACGACAATTAATATGTAATATGGATCGAAGATGTGCCCTGGACCTTATTCGCTATGGGCAAGGCAACCGGGCCCAACCCAAAGCATATTCGCAGCCTGTCGATCCGTGCCCGCCCGCTTGCCTGAAAAAATAACCCAGTCAACCGAAGGTCCTTCCACCGGAACACGCCGTGCGCCGAGCCGGCGGCGCCGCTTTCCCCGCCGACTTCCATCTCCGCCTCCGCCCCTCGCAATGCCTCCTCGCCGCGACCACGTACGCCGCCTCTCGACCCTGCTCCTCCTCTCTGGCTCCCCGAACCCTAACCGCGTCTCTCCTCGCAGGGCAAGCAGGCGCAGCACAGGGCCGCTCCCACCCCCGCCCCCTCGTCCATGGCCGCCGGGGGCATCGAGGAGAAGATGGACCCTGCAGATCCCAACGCGGACTCTACAGGGGTCGCGGCCGGGCTGGGCGGCGCCGGCGACGAGCTCTCCGCTCTGCTCAAGAAGTTCTCGGTAGCACCTTCGGCGAGGCGCGGATCCGGGCCACCTTCTACCCCAAGTTCGAGAACGAGGAATCCGACCAGGAGGTGCGTGCTTGCTTGGTTGGTTCCCCGCATGTGGGGCGCACAGGTGGGGCGGAGCGGGATGTAGTCGGGCAGCGCAGCCTGGTTGTCCCATGCATGCGAGGACGACGGCGTAGATGGAGCCGCCGCGCTCATCCACGAGAACCTGGACGAGCATGTACTTGAATGGCCGTCATCACTGTGGCGCGAGGCTGTTGCGCTAGTCGCGCTCTTACTGTTAGTCAAGCAACCTCCAGCAGGTAAGCCACTGATGAAGCACGAGCACGACGACCACCATATGCGGTAGTTAGAGTTCTTTCTGCATCAAGCATGGCAGTAAACTTCCAGTGATTCACAGAGGCGAAGTGGGCAAGTGTGATTGAGTAGCTAGCCAGTAGTGCTAAGTACTCAGGGAAGTGGGATCCCACTTATGCCCATCTAATCTACCTAAATCGTACTGGGATGTTGGCTATCACCCACCAAATCTTGGTGGAACTGAGTGGACTGTGGTGGGAGCCCACGGTCAGTCTCACCTGCAGCCTGAATTCTAAGGATATACATTGGTTACAATTAATGTATTCTAAGGATATACATTGGTTACAATTAATGTATTCTAAGTAATCATATAGTATATTGGTAAACATATCTGTTGGGTATGGTATTGTATCCCTGAATTGATTTTTTCCTCTCTCTCTCTCTCTGCTTCTTTCTCTCTCACACACACACTCTCTCGTGTGTGTGTGTGTGTGTGTATGGAAACAATGTGTAGATAGAACAAGCATATTGTAGTGTACTTCGATCAGAAAACATACATACACATTCCCCAAGGAAGAATTTGCAATTTTAATTGCATCATCTTGATGGACAAGCGCACCGGCCTTGCTAATGCACCAACACTGCTCTCGCTGCTGCTTCTGATGTACTTTTCTATCCATGTACATTGTAAGTCACGTCCTGAGTTACTAGTATTTCCCTCCTCACTATAACGAAATCTTTAGCTAATATTATAATCGCATCAAAATGATAGAAATGAAAACGAGTTTAACCCTCGTCTCTGCAAACTAGTATGCCCTACTCGTGCATATTTGTCTTTACAAATAATGCTAGCTTGTGGATATTAACGGTTGATATATATTTTTTGTCCCATAGGCCGAATCATGGATTACCAAGTCAACAAGAAGATTCATTTACCACATGGACTGTGCGTGCATAAGAATGGTCTAGACTGCTGTTTACTAAACGACTTCTGCTATATTTCAGTGGACGAATGTATGGATGCGTGCAAAAGAACATATTCTTCTCCAGGCGCATCGGCGACGCCGGGCCATCCTCCTTTGCCGTCCCATACACCCTGATCAATTTTATCGTGTTCCAAGTGATCATGCTAATGCGCCAGCTGATGCGCAATTTCGAAATAAAGAACAATGCTGTGATTTTTTTTCTATTGATGAAGTTCAACCGCTCATCGTTATCATCATATATATTTTTTGTTGGTTTTGTTGGAGTCCTTTTCACAGAAACCAGTAAATCGTCTTTGAAAAAAAAAGATGATGATGGAACAGCTTATTAATGACAATCATCAATAATCTATATGCAATAGTTTTAATTTTGTTTTCGGAGGCATTATCAGTTTCGAGAAGTCAGGACGCAAAAACTATATATTATGTATGTGGTTTGTATAATGTATATTTTTTTAACAAACTACATCCTTTATTAAGCGTTCAAACACATTGGGATACATATTATATAGGACAAACAGCTAAGCCACACGTGGCGCCCGGGACTAAGAGAAGCAGCTGCCTTTGCTAAGGCATGGGCCTCCCCGTTATACTTCCTATTTTATAAATGAACTTGATATCCTGAAATAGTCTCTTCTGGTGTTTGATGTCTTGCACGATGGAATAATACCGACAAGGAACTTCAGCTTGTATACTCGTCACTACTTCCAAGCAATCTGAGGCCACACACACGGACTGGTACACTACCGTAGTAGATCTGCCCAGAAATGGGCCTTATTCGCTATGGTCAACAGCCCAAACCCAACCCGATTCTCTCGGAGCCCGCCGATCTGTGCCAGCCCCTTTTTGCCTGAAAAAAAAGGGTTTTTATCAGTTTTGCCATCGGCTGTCTAGCGCTACTCAGTTTTGCCACTAAACATTTTCACTACTCAAAAATGCCACTGTTCTGTTAAATCAAGCTCAAAAAGACCATTTTTCAGCGTTACCGTTTGGTCAATACACGTTGACTGAAGTTAGATGACGAAATTACCCCTATCCCATTTGTAAGGGCCGCATGAGAAAAAGAGAAGAAAAATTGGGAGGCTGGGGGTTCGAACCCAAGACCACGGCCTACACAGGCGCACGAGCTAACCAAATGAACCATGGAAAAAAATTGTTTTGTGAGGAGATACAGACCTTATATACAGATATCTGAACCTAACTAAACAAAATCTTATCTAATCCTTGACCCGATCTGTTCGTGGCAGTTTCCCTTTCCCCAGCCGGAACCAATATCCCCAGTCATCGCCGCCGCCTGCTAAAATCCTCACCTGGCACCGCCGGTCGCCGGCTGCCCGCCCAGCTCCGGCGCGCCCCCACTCGCCGCAGCTGCGGCACCTCCCGCCGAGTGCCGCCACCCATCCCAGCTTCGGCTCTTCCTCCCGCCCGGCACCGCCACCGGAGGCAGGCAGCTCCGGCGCTTCTCCCGGCTGACTCCGCGGCTCCTCCCGAGTCTTGAAGTGCAATTGTTCCACGGCAATGGCGACGGAAAGCAGGACCGAATCGGAGGCTTGCATCGGCCACAGGACGCCCCAACATGACATATGCTCTGAAATTCCTGCATTGTGAGTATACTAATTCTTAGTGTGCGTGTGTGGTTGAATATAACTTGTAGAGGTCGAAATTTGTACATAGAATTTGTAGTAGCTAACTTTGCCTTATTGATAATCGCGTGCAATTTGGTACTTGTGTTCCAGATGGTCAGGATGGATGCAGATACTGCTTGTATGCTGACAGTTAGGTTGGAAACAAGCCGTGAGAATAGCGATGGTCTCAAGCGATATGTTGGCGGCTTTGATTTTCATCTATTCGTAGAACCTAGTATCACACAAAAAACATTGCTGCACAAACTGTGTGATACCTATCCATGGGGGTGGCGTGATTACGTTGAGTTGAAGTACTATGACAGGGAGCGGAATAAATGGGTTGCTGTTGTATGTGATGATGATGCAGCTTTGATGTTTGGAAAACATCAAGATTCAAAGAAAATATCTATGCAAATTGAGGTTCTTCAAAAATCCCAAACTCCTAGCACACCTAGCCATAATCCACCTACACAACCTTGTTACAGTGAGAGTCAACATACAGGGAGTCAGGCAGTTGATGTTGATACAGTCAACATACAGGGAGTCAAGCAGTCTAATAGTGTTGACGATGCTAATAGAGACATAACTGATGATGCTATACTTGATGATGCTATTCTCTCGGATAATGATGATGAGCGGCAGTATCCAAACTTGGTCAAGAAGTCTACCAAAGAAGATGATTCGGCAGATATGGAAGAGGAAGATAATCCTCCAGCATATGAATCCACTGACACTGAAGAGGAAGAAGAGAATAGAGACATGGGTTTAGTTGATGAAGAGGAGGAGGACAGACCTGTTGTAGTATATAACAAGGAGAACCAATTATTTGCAGAAGGCTCGGTATTCCCCTCTTTGTTGGACTGCAAGAATGCACTTTCTACTTTTGCAATTAAACATGAATTTGACTATACAGTCGAAAAGAGTGATTCTAAGAGGCTGAGAGCAACTTGTGCATATAAGAGGTGTAAGTGGAGAATTCATGGCTCTTATATGAGGAATAGCACAATATTTCAGGTATAACTTGCTAACATCTAATTGATTTGTTTATTGTACCCTTTATTTTGTGGAACTGGTAACTATACAAATGTGGCAAGTTTAACATACTAGCAACATACTAACTGATTTTGTTGTTTCCTACAGATCAAGGTGTGTCCTTTCTCTCATACATGCCCAACTAAGCTGAGAAGTGAGAAGTGAAGGAAATATGCCCTAGAGGCAATAATAAAGTTATTATTTATTTCCTTATATCATGATAAATGTTTAT